TTTACCTGTATTTCATCAATTTGTCGATAAATATGCTGACATTGTGCTGGGCATCATCTGTAGATGCGACTGTCGGTTAATATTGGCAATAGGGGGCTGGAGGGAAACGAGTAATTCGGCTGACTGAGGGCGCTCAAAGTGTCGGGATAATGGCGCATCAAAGCGGGCTGATCCCCTTGTGGCGGCCACGTGGTATCTCGCCCACCCTTTTGTCTGCTTTCGTCCAACTTCAATATTTATAAGTAATGGCGTCGCGCAGAAAGACTAGTCTCGTCCCCAGCCATTCTAGCGCGCCCGGACTTCGCCGGTCGGAGACTGCGTCGGACATCAATGGGGATGTGCAGTCTCTCGCTAGAATGTCTGGCCCACTTGGATCATCCGGGGGGGCCTCATTCGCACGTGATCTACACGCTCCCTGAGGAAGTGACCGCCTGCGCACCGGTGATGAGTAGAACATTCATGTATGCGGTCAGACATATATATATAAAAGTGCCTCTGACATATATTGAGTACATTTGCGTTTTTATAAGCCTCCTGCAACGGAGAGTACCACCGCAGCCCAAATAGCCGCCAAACATAATGATTGACAACGAGGGATGGGTGATTTGCCCAAGATATGTTGAAGACCGTAGCATGCTGAGTCCGATATGCGACGAAATTTTGCAGACCAATTTTTCCTTTCAGGCTGCAGGCTGTCTGGAATGACCCATACCTGCGCAAGACGACGATGTCGTAAGGGGCATTTCTTTCCCACGCCATGAATTACCGCAACCGGGCTCGGAATAAGCCGGGGTGAGCCGTGGCGGACTTCGAAAAACCGGCTTCGACTGACCTGGCTGAAATCTCATCTACAGCTTGTACTGCGTTCTAAAGTAAACAGCTATGGCTCTCCACGTCTGTGCATCGTACATTTACGTGTCCATGTCTGACCGCTATTCGAGTGTTATGCAAATGCCCCTCCATCGCTGTTACTACAGCCCACGACCCGCTCATCACCGGCCGCGGCATATCCCCTATGCCGAGACGAACGACTACCATTACACCACACTTGCCGCCACATCGCCACCTGGATCTCTCGTGGACCATCCTTGCCTGTGTACCACCTCTCTTTCCAGCTTTCGGTCTCAGCTTGTTCCAGCAGTGACCGATCTCAGTCTGGTGCTCTCTTTCGAAACGCTGGATTGGGTTGGCCGTGCACATGCCACGCGCAGCGCTCATAATGGACAAAACCTTATATAGGAAGTCTCTTGCCTCTCCATTCCTTCCTGGAAGTTAGCAGTGATGTAACCATCAACACTGCGAGCAAATGTTGCAGCGGTTGTAGATGTACCCGAGAGAGGAACAGGCCAAGAGAAGCCGGACGTGAAGCGGCGCATATGCATTCACCTTCGATGCATGGTAAGTTCACACAGTCAGGCGGACGGGAGCATTGACGTCGGGCGAGACTGAGTTTGAATTTAAGTGGACTCTCGTCCTCTTCAACGTTGTCGTCAGTCTCTGTCGCGTCGCCGATCTCGCAGCCCCCCCTTCCCCCTTCCTCAGATACTGTCGGTTCCTAGCATAGCATGTCCCGCGTCGCTCTTTCTGCCCTCTTGGCCTTTTCTACCATAGCTATTGCCCAAGACCCAACTGGCACTGAGCCGCTCACCGACAAGTCATTCACCTACCCCACGGGCATTGTACGCTGCACGCTCTGTCCGTCCTAGCTTACGCTAACGCGCCTCCCAGCCGTACCAAGTCGATCCCAACGATGGGCTTCGTGGCCCACAGTCCGGGTACAACATTTGCAACTCGACCACGGAGGGGCCCGCCTCTGAGTGCCAGACCGGCTTTATCAACCACATCAATGGTATGTTCCTCGCTTGCCGCCGGCCAAGAGTCCTGCTCATGCTATGCAGACTGGTGTGTTTGGGCCCCGCCGACTGGCCCTACCACCATCGGTGAATCTGAAGGCCAGGAAGTCGCGTGGTGCACCCAACCTGGACGTGGCACGCGTCTCATCCCCGCCGGCGCCATCACTGGCGTTCAGTTCCTTCGCGCACCCTCCTACCTCGAGGTCATCGCATTTATTGACCAGTCGATGCTCAACATACAGGCCAACGACTCTGGCGGCGAGCTTGACCCTCACGGGGCCGATCTGGCATGTTCTTCTTCTAGCTTTAGCCGGTCCCGCCATGTGCTGAAAAACTGTACAGCGTGGAAACCCCATCGGTGGTCTTGTGTTCTCGAACAATCTCCCCCAGAGCGGCAACGGTGACAACAACACCTTCGTTCAGGTTGAAGAATGGCATAAGTACGCTATTATCTCAGGCGCATTCCGTCTCCTATGGGTTCTAATGTTTTCATTTCCAGCTTCATCGGCTCCAACCTCTCCTGCTTCAAGGCTTGTGACCCGAAGGATCCTAACGCTGGCAACTACTGTTTCAACCGCCTCGATCGTGTTGGTATCGACTATGTGTGCCCAAATCAAGCACAGAACAACTCCTTCGTGATGTGCGACTCCGACAACCAGCTCTTCCCCGGCGTGTACACCACCGACGGTATCACTACTTCATATACCCAGCCACCTGACTCGGTCCCTATCGGCACCCTCCCGTACACCCCAATCATCCCTTCGTCGTCGAACTGCGTGACCTTCCAGTCGTCGGACCTCTTTGCTCAGCTTCCCACTCCCTCTGGCGCAAGCTCGGCCCCCGCTGCTACCTCTTCGGGTGCGTCAGCGGGCTCTGGCTCTGGCTCTGTTACACCATCCCGCACTGGCGCGTCCTCTACCGGCACCGCATCCCCCACCGGTGGTGCTCAGAACAGCGGCGCCGGCTCCCTTCGTGTATCTGTCTTTGCCACGATGGCGGGTGTGGTCTTCGCTATTGCCTTCTTCGCCTAAAACAGACACTACCCAACTTCACGAACACATTCTACTCTCGCGCGGACGATGTTTGGCTATCTTTCGCTGTTTCCTTAACCGCCTCTGTTGTTTTGTACTTGACGCACAGACGGACGTCTAGGTCGATTTGGACATGTACATCTAGCTGTAGAGTATTGTATTGCATACACTCGTCACCTCATCGTTCCTCAATACATACTGTCGTCTTTGTTCACTAAGGTTATCACACGTCGTCCCAGCCACTGTTAGCTGCATTTCATGTCAAGTATTCCTGTTGATATCAGCACTCCAGTAAGAGGTGTCGATCCCGGTCGATCTCTATGATAGGGCATTAAGACTTGGACCCTTTCCACAGATTCGAAAGGTCAAGCGCTTATCAGACCCGCGAAGCGGGTGATATGATTTGGACGAATCTACATGGTCGACCTGGGTATATATCTTGCAGTGATTGAGAGGACTCAAATTAGCCATTACTTTGAGTTTTCCCCTTGAGTCTACCAAAAGAAACGCGCGCATGGATTTTCATGCAACTTGCGCTCTCGTTTCATGGAAACGCTCGAGATTGTTCTCGAAGGATGAGCAGTAGTTTGCTAGTCCTATTAACAAGGCCCTTGCCACACTTGCCTGATGCAGGTGCTAGCCGAGAACATACCACGGCCTTCTCCGTTGCTTCCTGATCCCCAGCCGCTGCAGCCTCCTAGGGTGCCCACAGGCTGCCTGTGGTACAACGGTTTTCTCCGTCGTCTCGACATCAATGGCCTCGGTAAGCTCAGTTCCTCGCCCATGATGATGTCATACGAACGTCAGACATACGTAGTATTATGACAAGGTAGCACACCTGATGTGAGGCTGTCTGCACTAGCATAGCTCCCGCAGCGCTTACAGGTTATGCCGAAATAAACTGCAATAGGACGGATACTGCGAGGGACGTTAGGGAGAGTCAGAAGACCCAGAGCAGTCTAGATGTCCAGCGCTTGCAGCCAGCAGCCAGAGTGGTACAGGAATATGGCCCCCTCTGGGGCGAGCCAACTATGATGGAAAAGAATGATGTGATTGTAACTCTAAAATACAACATGAAGGAGAGAGCGAGAGGTCAGACACGAGTGAGGAAATCCACGACGCACTCCTGGCACAGCCGCTGTAAGTTTCTGTAGCTGTGAGAACCGCGGGACCCCGCCAAGTCTGTTATGTGGGAGAGCAGCCGGTTGAGCCAGCTTGTCGTACTTTTAGGAGTGAGTGTAGTGTTTGGAGACGGTGTCGATAATCCGAATCATCGTTGAACTTTCTGAACTGAGTCAGATAGACACAGCGCAGTTACGCATAGTCCTGTTTTGATTTTGACCTCTCATTCGCTTTGGGAAGAGTAAGAGACGGCAGACGTAGCAAAAGAGGGGAGGGCATACGGTTGTACTGCAGGAGCTTCTCAATGAGGTCGACGTGTGTAAGGACCATCCGACGGCAGCAATAGCGCTTTAGCTGCAGCTCTGTGAGCGCTTCACTAGATAATGATAAAGTTGCAACACGAGGGTCTCTATGCAGGAAGATTTTGCAGACGCACCCCTCAGACATGGTTTCTAGCAGCTTGAGGTACGCGGTCCACTTGTCACCAACGACCTTTCCACACGAGAAGCAGCGTACTGGGATAATCTGTGTCGGAATTAGTCCTACGGTCGTTCAACAGCAGGAAAGCGGTCCTGCTGACCATGCTGAGCGGTGAATAAGGTGATGACGAGAAGAGAGGCGGAGATCTCTCCAAATTTGGCATTTCTTCACGGGATAGGACACGGGTCACGTGGCTTGCTCAGGAGTTTAGCGCGAATCTGGTTCGCGTCCAAAGACACCTTTCTCCTCGACCTCGACGTCGTCGACGTCGCAGTCGGCCCTACACTTCACATTCTTAGTATCTTATCTCATTTTACTTTGGCGTCATGGACTTTGAACTGCAAGAAGAACTCCAGTCCTTCCAGGATCCCTCGAGCTACGACATCCCTCATGAGCACGACATCTCTTCGATGGACTCCCGTATGGTCTCTGCGTTACTTGAAGGCGCAGTCGTGGCCATTGCCGACTCTTCCGATAATATTACCCAGCCACAAGTCTTTGACGCATATCGCAGCCTCCTCAAGTATGCTGAGCATCTTCAGGGGACGACCATGAGCAAGCTCCTTGATTCGATATCTTCTGCTTTCCAGTCCCAGGTAGACGCAACCATACGCGACATAGAGGCGGAGGAACAAGACACGTATATTCTGCACAAGACTGCGCTGGAGATGTACGCGTTCCTACTGCAGTGGTTCGTAACCGCGGCGGAGAAGGTCAAGGTTACGGGCGACGAAGACGCTCCGGCGCAGCCGCCTCGCGCGAGGAGGGGCCGGGGAGGAAAGGCTGCAGCCGCAAGAGCGGTTGCTGCCCGGCGGACTGAACACTGGTCATGGCAAGACCAGATTCCTGCTGCACTCATGCTCGTCAGCAAGGTACTTCGCCTGAGGACGCAGCGGTTGTGGACTACGACGCCAGAGAAGGATACATTCATAAAGTGCGAATATATTCTTCGCCTTGTCCGAACTCCTCTGAACGTCTTGTGCTAGCTGTCTGCTGGTCCCAGCATACCGAATCTCTGAGAACGAAGGTTACATGAAGTCGCAGGAAATCCGCCTTGGCGTGTACAAATGCGTTTGTCTCGCGGTCAAGCACCATGGGCACATTCTTACTGCGCAAATTACCATCATGCAAAGCCTGCAATACTACGAGCATCTCTCGGAACCTATGGCCGAATGCCTTATGATCCTGTCGAAGGAGTTCGATCACTCCCAACTCTGCGACGAGATCCTCCGTGAAATCGCTGGGAAGGCCTTTAACGCTCAGGATACCAAGGGCCCCAGGGCGTTCTCTAGGTTCCTGGTACGGCTCACGGAGTTGGCCCCGCGGCTGGTGCTCAAGCAAATCAGTTTGCTGCTCACACATCTAGACTCCGAGGTATGTCTATATCCCTCTCTACCACTGAATAATTTCCTGAAGCGTGGCCTAGTCCTACCCTATGCGTATGGCTCTTGTAGAAGTCATCGGGCATCTCATTCGCGAGATTGCCGTCTCCGCCGACCTCAATATGGACCAGCAGCAGAGCCAGAAGCAACTCAACGGCCTCTACGATCTCCTGCTCGAACGCACCCTCGACCTGTCATCGTACGTTCGGACGAAAGTTCTTTCTACTCTCGCGAAGCTCTGTGACCTGCCCGTCAAGTTCCCGAAGCAGCGGCTCGCCATCACACGTGCCGCCGTCGACTGCCTCGAGGACAAGGCAGCTGGTGTACGCAAAACGGCTGTCCTGCTCATCGTCAAGCTCATCGTCACGCATCCATACGGACTGATGCACGGCGGTCTACTCGGCCAGCGGGAGTGGGAGACGCGGTACGAGGCCGTTGTGCAGGAGCTGCAAAAGGTCGAGAAGGAAGTCGCAAAAGCTGTGCAGCGAGTAGATGGCGATGCCAGGGATGGGGATGAGGAAGGCAAGGAGGGTGAGGACGAAGAAGTTATGGACGGAGCGGACGATGCGGAAGAAAAACCTCGCAAGAAGAAGCGGTATGTGCAAGGCTATTGACTTCTGCGCCACGTACTAACTTATGGCGTTAGCTCGAAGAAGTCGCCCGATGGCTCGGAAGATGATATGGAGGTTGATGAAGAGGACGAAGGCAGCCAAGCACACGAGCGAGACGACGACGTTGAAATGGCAGATGAAGAGGGGGGTACAGAAGCTCAGCCTAAGCGCGAGAAGAAACCACGCAAGTCGCAGCTGAACATCGACGCACTCCAGTCAGAAGCTGAAGCAATGGCGATTCTGGATAGCAACGAGATGCTTCATTTGAAGCTCAGGAAACGATACTATGCGGAAGGTCTAAGCTTTATTCGCCAAATTGAGCAAGGCATGAAAGTCATCGAGCAGCTCCTCGCGTCTACGTCGAAGGCGGAAGTGCTGGAGGCTATGGAATTCTTCCGTGTTGCGCATGAATATCAATTTGATGGTGCTGAGGTGCGTAGGATGGTATTGACGCATCGTACTGCTGTGGTAGCTAACATCTAAGGTGTCAGGTCGGCATCAAGAAGATGCTTCACCTGATCTGGCACAAAGACCACTCCTCAACGAACGAAGATGGCAAAGAGCTCAAAGGTATTCGGCCACGTCTCCTCGAGTGCTACCGCAGCCTGTACTTCGATCCCTTGCCCGACATGGAACCGAAGCAACAAGTCAATCGAATTGCCAAGAACATGATTGAGTACGTCCACATCTAACGGAAGGCTTTCTGCCTAAAATGCTAACCTCCTCTAGGCTTACGTACGACGCCACGTTGGCAGAGTTAACCAGTCTAGAAGAGACGATGCGCATCATGATGGAGGACAGTCAAGTGCACAATGATGTTATTACAAAGCTGTGGCAGGTGTACAGTATGTATGCGGACCTTCGATCGGGCACCGCTAACGTGGTTCACAGGCTCTGAGCGGCCGCTTCCGCGGGCACAACGTCGCGGCGCTGTCATCATCTTGGGTATGCTTGCACTCGCAAGGCGAAGCGTCGTGGCCGACCGTGTTGACACTCTCGTAAAAATTGGTCTCGGCAAGCTCGGTCAGGTTAGTATTTCTATCCAGCTGCTCGATGAACGCGGACTGATTGCTACGTACCAGACCGACTTACTTCTCGCCCGATACACTTGTGTCGCCATTCAGCGACTGAATGGTAGTGCGAAGAAAGTGAAGGGCTCCTTGCTCGACAAGAGCATCCGCCTCGAGCTCGATAATCCACTCTTCAGGAAGCTTCAGGACGCACTCGAGCACCCTTGCAGGCACAAGGATTGGTTCGGCATGGCCGAGCAGGCCATCAACACTGTCTACGCGCTCGCAGAGCGGCCGGACGTCTTCTGCGACGGACTTATCAAGAACCTGGCTCGTCGGGTGTTCGGCGTAAAGCAGGGCAAGGAAGTACGATCAGCGAGTGTCGGGACTCCTGATCCTGATGCGGGCCCTGATGCAATGGTCTTGGACGAGGATAATGCAGAGCCGAATTCGACGCCTGGTCCGGCCAGTGCTGCAAGTGCTGCCGAGGCTGGGGACAAGGATGTTGGAGACGCCTTTGAGCTGAGTCAGTTGCTCTTCGTCGTTGGTCACGTCGCGATCAAGCAAATCGTGTTCCTCGAGCTGGTGGAGCGCGAGTGGAAGAGGCAGAAACACGAACACGAGCGAGGTAGGCTGATAGTTTGCCCTGAGCCAATCACAAATTAACACACTTATCTCCAGCCGAGAAGGCCACACGAGGGCCACAAGCTGACAAGAACGCTTCGAAAGACACTGTCGAAGAGCTGGACCAAGTTGTTGGCAACGCCGAAGACGATATTGGTGACCGCATCACTCACATTCGGGAGCAGGAGCTGCTTTTTGATCATAACTCGTTGCTGACGAGTTTTGGACCTATGCTCGTCCACATCTGCGGCAGTCCTCACAAATTCAAGGTATGCGATCTTGTTGACGCTGAGAATATGATCTAATGCTTCAGTTATTTAGAATCGCATTTTACGAGCGGCAGCAACCTTGGCCTTCAGCAAGTTCTTATGCGTCAGCTCAACGTTCTGCGACCAACACCACCAGCTTCTCTTCCGAATCCTCGATACGTCAAAAGATCCAAGCATTCGCAGCAACATTGCCATTGCACTTGGCGACGTTGCAGTCTCCTTCAGCACCGTCATTGACGAGAACAGTGACGAGCTCTATAAGGGGCTGTCAGACAAGGACATCATTGTCAAGAAGAATACGCTCATGGTGCTGACCCATTTGATCTTGAACGGCATGATCAAGGTCAAGGGCCAGCTTGGTGAAATGGCCAAGTGCCTTGAAGATAGCGATGAGAGGATTGCCGACCTCGCGAAGCTGTTCTTCTCTGAGTTGGCGACGAAAGACAATGCGATTTACAACAATCTTCCCGATGGTGAGGGTTCTAGCCTTCGCTCATAGTTAACTCCCCTGACACGCCTCTAGTCATCAGTCACCTCTCTGTCGGTACCCATGCTGTGGATGAAGAGGCATTCCAGAGCACCATGAGATATATATTCAAGTTTATTGAGAAGGTTGGTTCTGTCTTCTCTTCTATAGATAAGCTAGCTAATACTGTACGTAGGAAAAACAAGCAGAGAACATCGTCGAGAAGCTCTGCCAACGCTTCCGTTTGTCAGAAGAATCCCGTCAGTGGAGAGATATCGCCTTTTGTCTGTCACTGCTGCCGTTCAAGAGCGAGCGCTCGGTCAAGAAGCTTGTTGAGGGTCTGCCCTTTTACCGCGACAAGCTGCACGAAGAGGACGTCTATGCGCGTTTCCAGGAGATCCTGGCCAAGGCGCGCTCAAACAAATCACCGAACAAGCCTGAGACAGAGCTCAATGAGTTCGAGAGTGTGAGTCTTCTCGTTCGCATAACGGTACCGCAGCGATGGCTGATATCCGCGTACAGATTCTGGACGAGCACAGGCGACAGGGCGCAGAGGATCAGGCGTTCGAGAAACGTGTCGAGAAGAATAAGGCTGCCGCACGCAAGAAGGCCGGACGGCGATGTACGTTAGCGTCCCTACCTGCAGACATGATCATTCTACTTACTGTTTCCTGTAGCTGCGCGGAAGAAGGCCACCGTCCAGGAGGAGCAAGAGGAGGAGTGAGCTGTGCTTTCTCGATGCTTAGTCGCGTTTTCTTCCTTCGGCTGGAGTTGAGTACTATTCTATATGGATATTTATTGCTGGTGGTCTTCTCAGATGTATCTCTACGCGATGTCATGTTTCAATAGACCCATAGCTTGGAGTACGCCAATGATATTGGTTATCCTACAAGGCATGGATCGTTGTTCGCCTTTACTTGTCGCATGTCAAAAAGTAAATTACATCAACTAAGGCGGGCACTGCTACGTTGTTATGCTAATAGTACACTATCGCATGCGCAATACATCCCGAATATTCAACAAACGGAGAGGTCCTTCGTGAGGATGTATCAGGAGGGTCGGGCGATCAGGCAGAAATTGGAGACGACCGAAGTATCTCTTTCCCTCAAACCTGGCAAGGAATGCCCCGGACCTTGCATCGTACACTTGGAGCTTTTCGTCGACGCTACATAGGGCAACGTAGTCTCCCTTCGAAGAGTATGCCACATGGCACACTCTACTCGGTAAGTTGTAGACACGACGTAGTTCACCCGTCTGCGAGTCGTAGGTGATCGCCTCGTTGTTTGCATTGCATGTTGCCAATATCTCCGCCCCGTCTGGAGAGAACGCGGCCGGGAAAGAGAGAGGCTTCGGGTGGTTGATCGCGAGGAGCTCTTCGCCAGTCATCGCACTCCGGATCTTCACTTGACCGTCTGCCGATGCGATCACCATGCGATCTCCTCGGCGAGGCATCGACCACTCGAAACGCGACCTGTCCTCATGCTGCAATGTAGTGATGTGTGCAAACGTCTGGGTGTCGTAGATGGAACAGGAGGGGAGTAGCCCGACGTAGAAACGCGAGCCGTCTGGAGAGAAGGCAAGCTTGGATATGTCTTCATCGATGCTGAAGGAGTGCAGGCGTGCGCCGGTTGAGGCATCCCAAACCTTCACGGATCGGTCCCCGCTGGAAGCAGTGGCAACGAGTGCGGCATGAGGAGCGTATACGACGTAGTCCACCCGAGAAGCGTGTCCTTCTAGACGAAGAAGCTCGCGACCACGTTTAGTGTCCCAGACGACTGCGGTTTTGTCCTCGGATCCTGAAACGAGAGCGGAGTTGTCGGGACTTGGAGAAAATGCCAAGGAGTCAACGCAGTTGGTGTGGCCTTGACGGCATAGGCGCTGAACTAGCAGGCCATCTGAGAGTCGCCATACAAAGATTTCGTCAATGTAGAACGACGCCGCCAGAAGCTTGCCATCGGTAGACAGGGCCCAGCACCTGCAAAAATCGGCATTTGAAGGATGGAAGATGAGCTGCTTCAATTGTAGGGGTCGAGCCTCCGCTTCCGTGGGTCCAATGAAAATTTGCTGAGGGTTATCCAAACGACCGGCGCCGTCGAGGGTGACGTTCGGCCATTCCTCAAAATCGGAGCCAGGAATGGTGCGAGACGCGAGGGCACGATCTTGTTCATGAGATATTACATCTTCTATGCATATCGATCCAACTACACGGGCGGTGGCCATGCTCAGATGCCGCCAGTGTTAAATGATCAAAGACTTACCCTTGTCGGCGACCTCAACGGGAACCTGCATTTGACGAAGGTAGCCTGCGAAGTCGTCTACCTGATTGTCACCCTGAGAATGGGTAAGTTATCGAAGAATTAACAGAAATGTTTCCACGACACGTGCCATAATACTCGCGATTTCATCATCACTTGCAATTGCGATCTCGACATCAGTGGTCTGTTATGACAAAGTTGTGTTTAGCATGATAAATACAGCTGTTGGGCATGACTCACCTCCAGTATGTAGTCCAGAAGGATGTCCAGGAGATCGGCAACATCGCTCTGGTGTCTCGTCAGGTTGTGCACCTCGCAATGCATCATAATGGATCACATACCTCTCCCTCCATATCCGAGTCGTCTTCGTCAGGGTCCCCCACCTCCAGCACGACGTCATCTTCATCCCCTGAGAAATCTCCCTCGTCTACCATTTCCGAATATCGGTGGTAGGCCGCGCGGGCGGCAGCTCTCCGCAAGACTTCCAGCCGTGTTTTCAACCTATAACGCTTCAAGAAGACGCACTGATCCCTCGTTAATCTTGCAGCACGGGTGCCAGACATGCGCGCCAAATAGTTTTCGCCGTGTCGTTGCATCGTTGGGCCGGCCACGAAGCTCGTGTGCGATGTGTCCGTGTCGAACCCCCCGATGTCGCCAACACGGCCTTCGAGCGAGGCGATCGTGCTCGTGCTCATGTTGCTAAAGGTAGCTGTCGCCCAGTCCGCTTCGGTCTTGACCCAGCCACTGACCATGACGAGATCCGCGGGCTCGATAGCCTGGCCTAGCTCGCCCATGGTGTATGCGAACCATTTGTCGTGATTTCGGACGATATACTTCTTCAGCTCCCGACTCTCGAATATCGTTTCGGGGTGCGCTTCGCTGCTCAGTTGTAGAACCGCGCCATGTGCCGCCCTGCACGTGTACTCGGTATTCAGAGTCGCAGATATGTTGTTCCCAGCGTTTCTACAGATCGTTCGTCTTACGTTAGTTCAAGGCATTTTCGATTGGGCGGGAGCGCTTACATGTCTTCGGAAGAATGTACCCGCGTGTTCTCAACTCCATGACTGCGATAGCTGTCGGGAACGAGCGGGCGATGCCTGCGATCGATCTGGAACGCACGCGGGGGTAAAGGCTCTATGTCCTCGAACGTCGTGTGCCAGAATGAGACTTTCCTCTCGGGCAGAGAGGTGTCCAAGTTGAAGAGCCTGATGAACGCGCCCCTGAGTAGGAAGCCTACGTCTCCGATCTGGGGCTCTCCCGACTCGTGTGGCTCGGGGTACCACAGAGCGTGGCCCTCCTGAAGCGATGAAAGACTGGATGAGAAGATCTTGTACGGAGCTGGCAAGTGGCGGAACATGACGACCGCAGGGAATGGGGTATGGTGGTGGCGCAGAGCAAAGCCCAGGACACGATCGATAGCGAGGATAAGTCAGTCCAGCGCCACCGACCTGATGGGTTCGCACGGGGAAGGACGCCCAGCAAATGGCTCTGACATCGTAACTCAGTGGTGCATGCAATAAGAGTAAGAGACCGTTGTGAAAGGAAAAGGTCACAAGTGTCAGACGTGCTACAAGTAGTACACGAGCAACAATGTCGCAAGCATACAGTAAATGCTTTCACTCTGGCCACTTGGCTTTGGTACTCCCGAGAAGACAAACCGGTGCACAGAAAAAAAATTACTCGGCAAAACGCACCTCGTTCACATGACAGGTAGTCTATACGCCAACATATACTAGCTATTAGTTGTGACGAAAAAGAAAAAGCACAAGCTCCGATTAAAGTAGTAGCGACTTCGTAGCGCCCGACGCGCGTACGAATATTATTCCTTGCATTCATCACCTCAGTAGGCTCGATACCAGCCGCCCTGTCATAGCCATTCCAACGTGCAGACCACTCTCCCGCCCTCGGTACGCGTCCCACCAACTACCGACTAAAATAGTCACGAGTCCATCACCCCAATATCAACACCCTGGCTTTGGAAGCCGGCATTCAGCCAATGCTGTTAAACCTTCCTGAAGAAATATTGGACGCGATAGCAACGGAGCTCCACGAACCTGACTGGCTGCGTTCAGAGTCCCGCTCAGTCAAAGGCGACCTCAAAGCGTTCTCCTCAATATGTCGCTTATGCAGGGACATCGGGCAGGCTCATGTCTTCCGCGATATCGTGTGCTCATTCCGATATGCTGCAGATGGTCAGCGCTGGCCTTCTGAAGATGGTTCCGAGATGCTATCTCTGGATCCGTCTTGGATGTCACTTGATGGGTACCCCGCCAGGACCCTTCCCATGCTCCGCGATTTTTTCACCGAACACCCTTCCCTTGGAGCCAGAGTTCGTAGACTACGTTTGGTTGGGTATCCGGGAGACAACAAGTGCATCATTGTAAGCGACTTCGGGGACGTGGTTCAGTTCGCCGACAACGATCATACGGATATCCTCCTTCTCTACAACCTCCTTTCCCAACTGCCCTCGCTCCAAGAGCTTCAACTAGCCGATGTCTTCTTTGCGACGCCACAGTGCTACTGGCAAGCGCAGCGCACATCTCTCCCCTCCTTAACGCGGTTGCTTATTGAATATCCCTACGGCTTTCAGTACGAGGAAGCCGTGGTGGACATGATCGCGTGCTTCGACCGTGTCAATGAAGTTCTCGTCTCTAATCTGGAAAGCCCGGAGGTCACCGACTTTGCCATCGCGCCACGTCAGCTACACTTCAAATCTTTCATCTTTTATGGAGACACATATATGACGGGACAACTCTTCCGACATATCCCGCATTCCCCCGCCGCGCAGTCCCTCCGGTCGCTAGAAATAGGTTTCATACGGCTAGACTCGCCCGCAGATGCCGCATTCCGTGAGCTCATCAAGGTAGTCGGGCCACAGCTAGAACACTTCGGCTTGAACGTCACCCCACGTTGGCAGTGGGGCATATCCATAATCCCAGATATGTCTCCTTGCACTGCCCTTCGCACCATGATGTTTCGTTTCTTCGTGAGAGGACCCCGTGATTTCGCGCTGGACGGTTTGTGGGCGACAATATCAAAAATGGTCGCCACTTGCCGTTGCTGTAAACTCCTGCAGACGATTACGATGGCCACTTCGCAAGCTTTCATAAGCTTTTGCAACCCGAGCATACCGGCCCAGAAGTTAGAAGACGAATTGCTGACACTCGCGAGACACATTCCGTTATCGTCCGTGCGCTTCATGGCATCTTCGCTGGACGGGTGTCCGCCTATCGCGCTCGAACACGCAAGCCAGCTTGCCAGCTGCTTCCCTCGACTTGTTGAGCAAAAATTATTTGAGGTATCTCTACGAGGCTCATAGCGACTAGCACAAAATAATAATAATTAGGGTATGAATGCGCCTAAATCGCTATGTTCAATAAAATAAGCTGATCTGCTTTCCTTCCCAGCCGCTCCACCTCTCTAACGCCTCTTCCACGACAAAGTGCGAGACATCCTTCCGCGATATGCTGTATCCTAGAGCTTCCTTGTCGCCAATACGAGTTCTGTACACTTTCTTTCCTCGATTTTGTTCGTCGTCTGCCTTTGCCGGCCCATCTGTCAGCCACCCGGGTCGCAGGATCGCGACGCTCTTGAACGCGCCTTCCGCAGGCATGCCCTCAAGTGTCTTCCACCCTTGTGGCAGCAGGTCCGGGCGATATCCCTCGTCGGGGAAGGGCATACCGGCACAGTATGCTGCCACGCGCTCCATGCAGAACTTGTCCACATGCGGCGGCGTGAGCAGCCACGAGTAGAACACTTTCATGGCGAAGGGCAAGCGCTGGTGCGAGGCCTTGGTGGCACCTATCTTCGAGAAGGCGATGAGCTTGGGTTGAGTCGGCGGGCTGCGTTGGTTGGGCGGGATGGTGCGGACGACGTTCAGGATGGCGGCCGAGCAGATGTCCTCTGGGAAGATGTGCGCGCCCGAGATGATGCTGAAGTGGTGCAGAGCGCCGCCTATGCCAACACTGAGTGCCCTTGTGCATGTCTGTGCAAGACCCGGACTTACCGACTGTGAAGAGGAGTACGTCCACGAGTCGTGTCTCCGAAGC